TACTGAATTTTGCTATACAACATCAGCTTCAAATATCAGCCCCGAAATTCGGCACCACATATTGGGGATTGGTTAAACATAATCGGCTGATCTCTTCTATAATTTTTCAAAGATGTGTTGAAATAATCTCTCTTCTTGCAACTTTATTATGAACAAGATCAACAGTATAAAAACACAAAAACACGAGGGGGTAAATGCAAGAAAATGGGGGAACTAAATCTCATTATTTTTCGGTTCTTTGGCACAATGATTGTCACGGACTGAGCCCAGTTACCATCAGCACATTTCCATAAAGCTCGGAGGCCTCATAGACAGAGACAGTGGGGAGAAGCGGACAAAGAGCTGGATTTCCCCACCAAAAGATGCATCCAGGCAACATCTCAAAGACAAAGCGAGGCATCACAGAGCGGCTGAATAGTAAATGACTTCACCTTGAGGTAAACGAGGTTAAGGCCAAGAGAGGATGTTTGACTACTCACTCTGCAAGACAGGGTCACTTGAGGCAGCAAAGGAGGCGGAGGGAAAGAAAGGAGTGATCTACATTCCTAAAGAATTGCACCAGCTGCATCAGAAAGGGTTTCGCTCTTTGTCACTTTTGAACAGTTAGTGATAATAAGGCTGATGCTCCTGCAGGTAGTTTATGCAACGCTGGAGAAAAGTTTTATTCTTTTAACCAGCCACACCGAACAGGAATATCTGACTTGAAATGTATTAGTTTGACAGAATATCATCAGGAGGTATTCTGATAATAATCACCAATTAAAGATTATATTTTCTAAGCAAGTAACTTGTAAAAAAATATGTACATAAAATGTAGTGTACGAGTGGGCAAGTCAAAAGAAGAATGGTTAATTAGCATATATTCAAGTATTTTAATTGTAAATGTAGCATTCTAATTTGTAGTTACACGTAAAAACATTTATCTCTCGTATCGTTCTAAATCACCAAACACAAGACATCATTTAGACGTTGATTTTTAGGATAAATCGTATCTGTCTGTCATAGTCTGGATTTAGTCCAGAAATAGTTGTTAAAAAATTGGTCTGTTTTTGGTCGGTCTGATTTTGTCACAATTTAGTCAAATAGCAGATGTTGAAAAAAATTTTGAAAATGTTTTTATATATATATATATATAT